ATACGTACGAGATCGTATTCTTCTCGCCAATCTATCTACTCTGTTTTAAACGCCGTTTTATAAATATTATACGCGATTTCTGAATCGAAGAAGAAACACTGGACAAGAAACACGGGCGCGCGTGTGTGTGTGTGTGTGCGTGTCTGTGACGAGTTCGACGAACGGAAGAAAGTTCGGAACGAGAAAAGTGGAGTGGATCGTTTTTGATCGAAACGAACGAGAGTGGAGCGGATATAATCTGACGGGGGAGAGGGGAGGACTAGGCGTTTTTAGACTAGATCGAAAAAGGGTAGGCGGGGTGATCCGATGACCTTGACGAGAATAACTCCCAAGGTTGGATACGCAAGCGCGAGAGGAAAACATGATTACACGCGCTTCCGTTTACGTGACCGTTCTCTTCGCGTTGCCGTGGATCCTCCGGATTTTCGGAAACCTCGGGATCAGGAGCAAATTCTTCGCCGATCTGATCAAAACTGGCAGGTAAGGTATTTCTCGCGCTGCGTTCGGAATTCGTTTCTATATCTCGGATTCGAACGTGAGAGGGAGGGGAGAGAAGGAGAGGAAAAAAAAAACTGTACACATTTTGTATTTAAGAACGCGCGTAATTGGAACGAAACTGTGTAAAACACGACGGTGGTGGTGGTGGTGGTATAACTGCGTCGTTCGAGCGCGCTTCTAACAATAAGTAAGAGGTTTCGCGCGGCCCCCACCACGCTCCCTCTCTCTGTCTCTCTCTTTCTCCGTTCGCTTTTGTTATTTTTATTCTCGGGGGATCGTTGGTTCGTTCCTCGGTCGTTTCACCGGTGGCGTGGACGCGATTCGTGTGCCGTTCTTCCGATATTCTTTGTCCCTTGTCATCCACTTTCTCTTTCTTTTTCGCGCCGGCTGGCTGGCTGGCTGGCGGCTGGCTGGTTGGCAGCTAGCCAACGGACAAATTCGACGCTTCTTCCGGGAGGAGAGGGGAGAAGAGGAAGAAAGAACCTATTATCTATCCCGCCTCGCCACGTGGAATCGCCGAATAAAAATTATCGCTCTCTTTTCTTCTTAACCGTGAAACTTTTTATTTCGGAACGAGGATTATTTCCAACGAATTTTCGTCCATTTCGTCCCCTCGAGAACTCGAATCGAAAGCAAATATTGGAAACATTTGTGAAGGAGCGGTTACTAACAGGTTAAGATCGATCGATCGAATCGTCATTGCTTGCCTCATCGACCGTTCCATTTAGGAGCAGCCGATGACGCGACTCATTATAATTACGATGCTACGCCTCGAGCCTCAGTATCTCTCGCGCTCTTCTCCTCGCCCGTTGCGCAAAATTGTTGGAACATCGACTCGGTTGATTCGTGTCCTCGAGCGCCGATTCGCCGCCCTTCCTTTCTCCACGACAATTCGTACGCGAACACGTGGAAAGATAGTCGAGTCGCCAACAAAATTGGAAATTTATTGGATCCGTCGAGAAGAAATCGCGTATTTTCCATTTCTTTCCACGAATAAAAGAATTTTTTTTTGTCGTCTGTAAATGATTCGTTGGTTCGTTGTATCGTAATTTCTTTCTTTCTTCTTTTTATCATTTTAAGGGAGCATATCTTCGCGTCGTTATCCCGTCGAACTTAATTATTTAAAAACGTTATTTTCATTTACTCACAAACACGCGACGTATTAATGTACGAATATACTTTCTTTAATTACATTCATCGTTAAATTTACAATACGTAGAATCATAAACGAGCATTCGTACGTATATATATATATATATATACATATATCCCTTGCACATAGAAAACAGGAAACAGAAATTGCATAACCTTGTAATTCAATTTCCTAAATAGTCGTAAAAAAAAATTTAACACGTTAAAACGAAACATTGAAATGTAAATTATTCTTTTTTTTTTTCTTTTTTTTTTTCTAGTATTCGTAACGTATATTTTCGTTTATCCCTGTTACAAGCTTAAGGAGAGGGGAGAATTAGGTTCGAGATCGTTGGGTAATTGGCATCGGTGGATGGTGAACCAGGACTCGATCGAGGGAATCGGTACTCGGTTAAATGTGAACGCGTTACGTAAAATGTTTAATTATAAATACGGCTCGGTCGGCGGCGAGATGATCGTTGCCCGTTATGCAAAAGGCACTGTACACTGTTGACATTGTCGTTCCCTCGCCCCTTCGGTTCGCGGCCTCAAAAACCCGGAAACGGATTTATCTAATCACCGCGAACGAAGTAGAAGTTGGAAAGGACTATTCTACACCGAGGAGCGTCGGTATCTTATCTCTTAGATAAACTAAACTTTTCACCGTGTATATACGACTCCTATTTTTCGTATTCGAGGAACACGTTTCGAAAATATCGCCATTTCGCCTCGTTTCTTTCCGAGGCAATTGGCACAGTAGGAGAGATCAGGCTACGTTCCATTTTAACTTTAGGCCTTCGATTAAAGGTAATTTAGGTCCCCTTCGAGAAGGAGTCAGAAAATTTAAAGAAGAAAAGTGAAATATACGCGATAAAAATCGATCGATCGTTTCTACGGATCCATGATGCTGGTATCTCGGCAATTGTAGAATTTATATTATGAAACATTTCGATACTAAGATTTAAGGCTTCGAGTTATGTACGAGTAAAAAAACGTTTGTGCACTCGAACATTTCACTCGAAAGTATTATTCGAAACGCGTACGGAACACGAGTTATTCGATCGAATATTCGATTTTGCTGAATCAATTATTAACAGAGAGAGAGAGAGAGAGATATCGGTGGATTTTTAGCGGGAGATTTTAATTCGATCTCAAATATGGCCAGAGCCTGCTCGAGATATTTGCGACGAACGTGACGGAATTGCTCTTACGACGCTCAAAGCGAATCACGATCGATTGACTTTCGATCGCTCGAAGCGGTTGTTCTCGAAAAGTTACTTCATCGTTACCTAAGAACTTTATATACCATCGAATAACGTGATCACGATGTTACATCACGATGTTCCTCTTAAATTTCTCTCTTAAATATCCTTGCCTCGTGAATTTCCTTTTTTTGCTCTACACGACGGTTACATCGCGACACAATTTTAAAAGAAAAAGATAAGAATCGCCTTCCTCTTACTTTTATTATCGCGTAGAAAAAAAGAGGGGGGGAGCGCAGAAACGGTTAGGGCGTAATAAAATAAAGAAGAAGGAGAAGAAGAAGAAGAAGAAGAAGGAGGAAGCGAACGAATCCACGGTCGATCGGTTAATGATCTTTATATAGCGTGGAGAAAGAACAGCGTCTCGGGTATTTTATCGTTAAAGTTCCCCTGATGGGGATCTAAAGAGAATCGTCGATACGTTGTTACACGGGGTTGCATTCCGCGGCAATTCTCCACCGATCGTTTTCTCCTTACCTTTTTTTTTACACGGCCAGTGTGAGAAACGCGTAAACTAGGAGCGAACGCACGGAACGAAAGGTAAATCGTTCTGGTTCGCCTCGGTTTTTACCGTAAAAGATCGATTCGCGTTCCAAGGATTTTTTTTTTTTTTCTTTCTTTCTTTTCTCTCCGCGATAAACGTTTATATGGCCACGGCGGATTCGCCCGATCGACGAAATATTCGGGGAAATTCGAACTGGACATTTTTCGTCCAATTTCCAACTTTCTATTCGAGCGACAGAGTTTTTTCCAAATTTTTGCAAAAGTTCAAGCGAGAGAACTTCCACGATACTTTTTTTTTCTTTCAATCCTGTTCACGCTTGAACGATTGAACGTTGTATGAATTTTGTATCCATGTTGAATTAAATCGGTATGTTTAATTAAATCATAGGATATTATTCGCGTCATTGGTTTTATTCCTTTTTTTTAATCTTCTAGATCGATATTATTAATTATGAGATTTTTTTGGAATTTAACAATTATCGAAATTATATTGAATTTCTAAATTTTTAATTTATCCTCCACGTTTAACCACGTTTTTCGTAAGAATATTAATTGAATCGAACCCCATTTAATTTAATCGAACGTGAATCGTTATAAGATTAATTTTGACCATATTTATCTTTTTACATATAATTATTCGAGTTTGTGGAATTTTACCTCGTTACGATAAACCACTACCTATTCACTTAATAGTAACCTCCGTTCCTTCCATCCTATTTTCCAACTTATTTTTTTTCTCCACGAGCATTAAACCGAGAAATAACTTTGGTCCAATTTGTTTCCGTTGAAACCACCGCGAACGAGGTGATATTTCCTGTTGGTCGTGGAAACGGAAACGATTTACTTATTCCTAGATAGAAAGAAATCCTTTAACCATCTCCTTCGAATATTTTCGATAATAACGCTTCGAATATATTATATAAACATCGATCCATCGATCATTCCTTCTTCTTCTCTCTCTCTCTCTCTCTCTCTCTCTC